TATGTCTGCATATACCTGCGCAAGTAAGCGATGGGCAACTCAGTGTGAATCACTGAGTTTTCTTCTCTTAAAGCCGTACCTCTTAATGCCTCATTCAGTAGGTCTTTACTCAATCATAGTAGGTAAAAATCTCGCCTAATAGAGTTTCCCTTAGTGCCAACTTCTGGGACTCAGATACAGCACAAGGTCTTGAAGTCAAGTTTTATCATTGACACCAATGACATTTTCATTTAGAAAACATGCAAATATTGTCAAGATGACCTGGTATAGTTGAAATAACTGAGTGTCTTTACAAAGAAACAATTTCAATGCTGTAGGATTTAATAAAATTACTAGTGATCCAGCATGAAAAGGTACTAAATTTTGAGTTGGACAACACTAATTCTGAGAAGTCATCAGTACCTGAAGAGGGCCTATAAGGATGGGGAGGGACTCTTCATTGGGGACTGTAGTGGTAGGACAAAGGGTAACGGGTTCAAAATTAAACAGGGGAAGTTTAGATTAGATATAAGTAAGAAGTTCTTTACTGTTGAGAGTGGTAAGGCATTGGAATGGGTTGCCCAAAGAAGTTATGAATGCTCCATCCCTGGTAGTGTTCAAGGCCGGGCTGGACAGAGCCTTGGGTGAGATGGTTTAGTGTGAGGTGTCCCTGCCCATGGCAGGGGGCTTGAAACTAGATGGTCTTAAGGTCCCTTCCAACCCTAACTATTCTGTGATTCTAAATAGATACACACTTACTGCTAAATACCTTTAATACTGTGACTATCTGTAAATGTTTCTAAACAGAGGCAAGTTTAAGAACATACAAAGAACAGTGATTTGTACAGTTCCTGTCTTAACTAGCTAGTGCTCTGCATGAACAGTTCTTCTACAGCTATTTGTCAGAAGTCTCTTTGTCACATTTGCAAAACTTGTTTGTAAGGTTCTTACTATAAAACAGTGATGCTGGATCCATTGCCCTGTGAAACATAATTATGAATTGTGGTATGTTCACTGAACAATGGCAGTGAACTTTCTAAATGGTTTTAATATGCTGCAAATATGAAATAATTAATGTTTAGATTTGTTGTGGGTAGGAAAGCTGGATTCCTCATGCTTGCAGAAGCCTAAAAGCAATCATGTGAACATTCACAATGGCCAAGTCATGCTAACTTGGTTGTGGGTGTAGCTCAGTAGCAGCTACTGGAGGAGAGAGCTGAACAGAAAGAGGAGCAGTAAACTCTGCCCACATACAGTACAGTGAGTTAGACAGAAAATTCTATCAGTCATTTTCTCATTAAAAAAGACCATTAATACAATGTCACACAGCTTTGAGAGCTTGATCTCTGAAGTTAGAACAGTGATGCACAGAAGTGGAAATGTCTCTACAGTGTACATTATTATGTATTATACGAGATTATCCTCTATTGAAAAATAGTTATTTCATCATTTTTGAGGGTATAAACATGTTGAATCTAATACACTAATAAGAATTCATTCAATTTACAGCAAGGATATTTACAACCATAATGACTACAAATGATCTCGGGGGTGAGTAAAGTCTGGAATTGCCTGTCTTTTCAAGGTAATGCAGTTACCTGGTTTCAGAAGAACAAACCATGAACTTGGTATACTAGCACTGTGAGGGAAGAAGTTAAAGCTAAGAAAGGAGCACAGGGGTACACATAAGTGAAATACCTGGGGAAAGCAAACAAACCTGCTTACGCTTATCGCTTGGTGACAAGTGGTCCAAATGATTTTTTTTTTCAAACAGTAAAAGCATTACAAAATCAACCTAATTATGAAAGTAACAGAATAAATCATTAAAAATCTTTAATATTTAAATACATAAATAAATAAATTTAGTAAAATACAACTTAAACTATAATAATTGTTAGTTTTTCCAATAGTAAGTGCTGCTTTTTCTTATTGTGGGGTTTTGTGCAATAAAGACTTCTTCTAGAAATCTAAAGTTCTAGAACTCTTAGTATATGAATAGTTTTAGGCACATTCAGAAAATTTATTGTAGGCTGAAAATGAAATAGTAGGCTGATAAGATACAAAAAAACTGGCTTAAAATATGTAATTTGCATCCGCCTTCATCATAAAGCAGATTCATTTAACAGCTGCTTACCGTCCTGACAAAACTGAAAGAGCTAAGGAATGCAGCAGGTTTTTCAGTAAGTGGTTCAAAACAAGACTTGGTGGATGTAAGACCAATAACAAAATCACATTCTACTTTATTTGGTCCTTCCTTGTTCTGGTTCAAAACTGGTTTCATCAGAAACATCACTGGAATGGATTTATTTACTTTTTAAGCAGCACACTGCAGCACAGTAAGGCTGTGGTTTTACAAGCAGTTAAAGTGGCTCTTCCTCAGGAAAAGGAAGTCCCTGGCTCAGTCACTCATTTCCACCCCTATGCTTGCTGCTTTCTCTTTGCCAGAGGAAGAGTTTGTGGGGCCAGGCAGTTAAGTGGCTCACCAAAATATTGGCATAATGCACAGACGTTCAGTCTAGATCAGTTATCAAGTTCAGTTTGCCCGCAGCTACACACACTGATGTGAAGCAAGAGAGGCGTATTTAGGGGAGGAAGGAAGGGAGAAAAACATCCTGAATGTAAAAAGCTGGCTCTGGTTGCATCTGCTTTTAAAAATTCAGCACAGTATGTACTGGGGAATGGAAAAGATGGCAGCAAACACTGATGCTGTGCTGCTCTAATGGGAAATTAAAATTTAACTCCTAACTGAACACTTTGGCATGTTCCTCTTGGTTTCATACAGGTGTGTGAAACTGTCAAATATCACGTATTTCTGAAAATAAATCTTGTGCACATTTCTGTGATATTGCAGATATCAAATGTGTATTAGCAGTACCTACACTTCCAGTTGTGCACTCACAGGCAGAGACTTCTTTGGTTAAAAACCCTGCTTTTTTATCAGTTGTCAGATTTCCTCTCATTAAAATCAGACAGATAGAAGTATTTCCTGTCTCCCCAAAGTCTAAATTTAACAGGTAACACTACAGAATAATCCCTTTATTATAAACAACACTCACAGTTGTAAAGGGCACGTGAGCTGAAACTGAGTTTAATTTTTGGTGTAAATATACATTTTTATGAGGCTACTCGAGACTTGTACTGTTAAAGGTACTGTAGCATATTATTTTTAGCTATAAATTTTAAGTGTTAAATGCTGTCCTCTGCTATATTTACTCAGATTGCTTCTGGGTTCCTGAATTAATTGACTGAAAAGAGTTGCAGAATGGGACCCAGCCTATTTGCAGACCACTGAAGATTAGAAAACAGCTTGTCCTCTGAAAATGACCACAGTTGACATGTTTTGATTTATGCTTACAAGATTTCTTTTTCCCCCCTTTTAGTTCTCATCCGTTTCATAACCATGCTCATTCTCAATATTTGGGTCACAGCCACAATCCTGCACTACAGGAAGACTAAAAAGACTGATTAGAAGACACTCCTCAGCACATACCACAGTTACCACCAAAACCCTTGACACAATTAAGGTTAAACAACAGAAGAAAGGTTGAGGAAGCTCCCTATCTCTCTCTTAAGCCTGGTATTCATCCCTAAGCATACTTAGTATGGTCATGCTTGTTTTCTCTTAGAAATAATTCTGCTAAGATACTTAATTTAAGCAGCATCTTTTTATTTGTTATTTAAGACAAGCTTCACTGGTATCACATTTTCTGTGGGATTTTTTACTAAATGAACAAGGTATTTCATATTTAGATGTTTATATATTCTCGTATCACTTCAGTACTTCCTGGTTACATATAAGCAATATTCTTCAATTTTGCACCAGCATAGCAACTCGTCTTTCTTCATCTGCTGTATGAAAAACAACAGATGTTTGTCTTCCTGCAAGCAACTCACTTAGTTTGACATTAACTATCTGTATTTTAGGATGAAGAAAACTAAAGTCAAGGCCAAATCCAAAATTAAGTTCTAAATGTGTTTTGCTAAGTCACAAATCCAGCTGGGACTGTTGTGCTTACATGAAACACTTAAACAGCACAGTTTGTACAGCTGACACAGGATACCCAGTCACTTTCCTCAATACACCCAGTTTTGATTAGGGTAAGAGTAGAACCTCAGCTCTGAATTCTAATTTTTCAACCTGAGCTCTCATTCACTGAGGATACAGTTTTGGGAACAGCAGAGACTAGAATGTGTAGTAATTAATGAAACTTTGAACAGTGTTAAAACCTGCATTCAAACAGGAATTCCTGAGCCGATACCCAGGCTCCCCAAATGCAGTCCCTATGGAGAGTGGCCTGGCCACACATGCACTTTTAGGTGTGCAGCATTGATTCCTCCCCAGTGGTTCACAGTTAAGATACTGCTCTGTCCTCTGTCAGTTTTTAGCCTGTCTGTGCTAGGTTTGCTGAAGAACATACAGGCTTCACTTAAATTTTTACTTTGCAGATGCTATCAATATGCATACTGGCACAGGTTGCCCAGAGGGGTGATGGATGTGAATGTCTTCATCCCTGGAGACATTCAAGGCCAGGCCATATGTGGTTCCAGGCAACCTAATCTAGCTGAAGATGTCCCTGCTCATTGCAGAGGGGGTGGACTAGATGACCTTTGAAGGTCCCTTCCAACCCAAATTATTCTGTGATTCTGTGATACTTAAAAAGGTAAAAAGAAAATCTTGAGAACTATTAACAGATTTTGCTTTTGGAAGTAATGCCTTTCCAGTCAAAACTCTGAACAATCAAAATTAATTTTCCAAAATGAAAAGATAGGCATTTCATGAGTTCTTACAGTATTATTGATGACTCACAGGTTAAAATCATGGCACCCTTGATAACTAGTGACAGACTGCACTGACATCACTTGAGGCAGGTTTTCCTTGCAAGACACTGTATCACAGGACTCTTGTGGAAGAGAGGGATCTCCTCTGCAACAGCAAAAGTAGCTTTGTGCCAGAGCACACTCCACAGTCAGACCGAGACCTCACCATCAGAGAGCACAGCTGCTCTGCAAGGTCCCATTTGAGTGGGAAGTGGTGGGAAGAGATGTGTCTGTGGACATGATTTCACTATCTCACATTCTCGAGAGCAAGCTCGAACACTTTTCACTGCTCCAGTAAAATGGATGAATGTTTCTATGTTGGTTGAGAGAGTAACTGCAAAAATCCTGTTACTGATTCTAGTAAAGCTGTGTAAGATACCTGAAGTGGTCTAAATGGTGGCAGGTAGCATGTGATGTATTTTCCAGGTCTTGTTAATAAATGCTATTCTTCATGACTGATCAATGTCATTCTTGCAGTTAAGTTTCATTGCATTTACTTTTTTGTTTCCATATATGGAGAGAAAATTAAATACTCATTATGGGTCATTAATTGGCAGTTTTCACCTTAATACTTGAAACATCAGGCTGTGCATTCAGCTGCAAAATGCTAAAGAGCTCCAGCATCTGAAAAGAAAAAAAAAACAAACCACCACTTCCCATCTCATTTTCTTAATTAAAGCTTCTTCTTGATAATGATTTGTGTAAAGTCCAAACCTCTGTTAGTGACATCTTTTATAATCCTGAATGATGCTGCAGCGAATTGAAGACCTCCGTTTTCAGTTTGAGGATCAGCACTGCAAGTTGGGTTTTTTTCATCATAAAATGCTGAAAATGTAATTAAGAAAGCTTCTCTACACGTTATTTAACATATTTTGAATAAAGCATTTTAGAAACCGGGGGGGGGGGAAGACTGAGGAAAAGAAACAAGGCTGGGGAATTCACAAGCTTAAGGTAATTTTGTGGACTTGGAAAGCTGGACCCCGAGTTCTCCTTCAAGCTGCAAGAGATATGGAACAAAGGTAGCAAAAGTTCTACACACTTTTTTTGCCTCCAGAGAACAATTTCTGTCACTTTGGAGAGGCAGACATATGCTCAAGTCCTGGGCAAGCCCTAAGAGAGCACAGCCCCTGTAGTTTTCCAGTACATAAACCGTAACCCACGGCTGGGTTAAAGGACAAGACACACGGGGAGGATAAATCTTGTTAACTTGTCATTCAACAGCATCGGGGCAGGCACAGCAGACTGTTTGCCACATGACACAGCAGCAGCCCAAAGGCAGGCAGGGCCAGGCAGCACTGCAGATTTACTGCAGTGTGGGTAAGGCAGGAAGTGTCTGTCATCCCCAGGGCAGGAGGTGACACGTCTCCATTGGCAGGTTCTGCTCAAGTGCCTCGTTATACACTTGGTATCTCTCTGCACCAGCTCATAACATGCTCACAAGGTAATGCAGCCTTTCCTGTCCTGGTGAGAAAGTGCAGGTCCTGCCAGGACTGTCAGTGTGAGTGTTCTTGACAGTGGGAAGACAAGGTCTGAACTCTAGTGCAGCCCACCAGGTAACCCCAAATATCTCCAGCCATGAATACGATGAGCTGCAAATGTGTTTGATAAGCTACAAGCTGTACTGAGCCACGCATCTGTTTAACAGACAAAATGTTTATCCTGAGACCTACTACCCCCAAAAAGAGTGAGGGCACGATTCCATAGACAGCAGGTTGCTGGTCTGAAAGTGAGGATACAGACAGTGGAAAACACATACAGTTTACTGTTCCCAAAAGCCTATTTCTGAACTGTCCTCAGTAAACAGGAACGTTGCACACAAATGCAAACCCATCCTCTCCCCTACCCTATGGGCCTCTGTGATGCTTGGCACTCTGCACAGAGTAACACCATGTAGACATACCTGTTCTTGTGTTACACTAATCCAGCAGAAGATGCCAGTGCTTGGACTGCTTGGAAGTCCCTGTCCCTGTCTGACCCTTGAGCCTTTTCCACTGCCTTATGCTGTGCACATAGCTGCTCCATAGCCTGATTCTGCCAATCTGAACTACTACAGTATGACAGAAAGGAATGCAGTGGGGAGGCGGACATACAACTGCCGGAGCTCAAAACTGGATTTTAGGGTGGGTTGACTCTTCGGAGAAAGTCATTCACTGTTAGCTAAAAGATCCTAAATAGAATATAATGCGTAGAAAGTCTTCATTCACTCCTTTAAATGAGGTAAAATGACACTTCCTGCACTGAACAATCATTATCCATTTAAGGACATATGTAATAGGGAAAAAGAAAAAAGGAAGTAACACCTCAGAGCCCACAGGAAGAGCTATTACAAAAGAAGAGTTACACAGATGTGGAAATCAGTTTAAATTAGGTGGTTTCCCAGCCATGTTTTTTCTATGATGATAAACAGTAATTACTTCCCTTCTAATTATTTTCAAGGTGGTTTGTTTTATTCTTTTCCAGATTCTTTGATATTCAAGATTCATATGAAGCAGAACATGAAATGATTCATATGAAGCAGAACATGAATGCTACCTTCATCACTAATAATGGTTTAAGGATGTCCAGTTTGGGATGTAAGCAAGCTGAAAAAACCCTTAAAATGGGATGTTATTAAATTCTTGGTTTGCACTGAATTTAATTTGCTTGATTGTGAGGCATAGTTCTCTAAGACACTTAAAAGAGTTCTCGGAGATGATGGCTGTTGAGGTCAAGTAGGTGTCTGGGAGTTACAGTAAGTATCACCGCAAGAACCTGCCAGCTCATCACTTGTGCTGGATCCAACTGTAAGACTGTGGCAGCCTCAGAGACCCTAATCCAGAGGGACCGTGGGTGCTTCCTACCAGACAGCAAGACCAGGCATATAAACACCTTAAAGTTGTCGACTGTCCCATTCTACCTTGGAAGTGGTTGGAGGCAAGCACCATCTCTGTCCCGGAAAAAAAAAATCCAGTCTTTGCACCAGGGTAAAATAAGCAGGTTTTTCCACATCATACTTTTGGTGGGACAGCCCTGTTACAAAAAGTGTTTAATCATCAGCGACTAAGACAAATGTTGCTTAGTTCAGGAATATGGGCTTCTCTCAAAGACTTTAAAAGGTTACCACTGGACAATAAGGAAACAATGTAATTTTGAGGACCTAATGCTTAAAAGTTCTTTGCATTCCATAGATCAGCAGATGGAAGCTCTGTCTCAAGCAGGACAAGTAAGAACAGAAGAGCAGCTTTGCTGCTCTTTTGTGTCCTGGGTACAAAACCAGAAGGCAAGAGGTTCGTGCACATCATGCCATTTGCCAAATAATCTCTGCAGCTCAACACAGCTCATGCTGTTTTCGTTTTGGGACAAACTGCATGAAGGAGAACAGAGGAGTGCCACAATACAGTTATACAGTACATTTCCTAAAATGACCGGCTTAAAAGGGCCCCAGGGATTCACAGTATATGTGGGCAAGCCAAGGGGAGAAAGCGCAACAGCCTCACCCCTTACAGCCTGCCAAAAGAGCTCCTGAGGAGCCTGCGCCTCCTCCACACACAGGCTTTGCTTGGCTTCCTTTTGAGCAACCCTCACCTTTCCTGTATCTGCCAAAGCACTTGCCTATGTATTTAAATACTTCAATTAATTACCAGCTTCTCAAGCTCAGGAACTATTTTACCTTACTCAAATAGTTTATTTAAAAATATATATATATAATATTCTCCAATTCAGAAAAGGATAGAACTTCCCACAATGTTACTTTTATATATATATATATAAAATATTTATGCATTCAGTGAATGGAAACAGTTTTACTGTATACATTTTTAATGTTGTACTCTATGCAAATCTGCATTGCCTAAAAATATACTGTACTTCTGTAAATCAAAACAAGCAGGGAAAAAACACTGTAGCTGTGCGCTGGGTTATAATACCTAACAGAAATGGTACGAAAGTTCTAGTTTTGAATTTCAGAACTCACAAACAACAGTTTACTTTGCGAGTGCATAAATAGAAGACTGAATACATTCTGACTCTGTTAAGCTGAACTGTAGCAGAGGTTACAAAATGTAAATATATTTATTCATTTTCAGTATTTCAGTGTTTCCAAGTCCACCTCTCATGATAGTGTTAAATAAATCACGGTCCTATCCTTCCAAACAATTCAACACTCTTTAAAACAAAATACAAACAAACAATTTTTAAAGTGAAATGTCCTCCTTCATTGAAGTGTTAGATCATATTTTAAATTACTGCACTCCCACACAATATTTTTTATATATATATATTTTAAATATATATATATTTATATATATAAAGAGACCAAATAGGAGCCTACATTTTTTTACTGTCAATATGTTTAACATCGCATACTGTAGTTGTATAAAACATGCATTTTCTGGGATAATTATGAACACATCATGAATGAGCCCATATAAATTATATTTTTTGTACAACTCCAAGTTAAAAAACAAACAGTCGGATTAAGTGCCTCTGAGGCCTTTCCTTCCCAGCTGTCAGTTCTCAAGACACACTACTGGAATATTTATCTATGCCTACAGCTATGTGCTAGAGAACCAGATTTAAAAGTTTAAAATACACCTACAGTATGTTTTACCTAAAGGTTGTGACAGTCCTCGGCTATTGTGTTGTGAAATGTAAAAATAGTCACAGATTCTTTTCTTGTTTTCCAGAAATAAAAAACACATCTAGGAAAGTATGCAAAAAAAAGGCAAAATGAAGTTTCATAGCACTTAATGAGGGTTAATATAAGTCAATAACTAATATTGAGGTTTGTAAAAAGGGCTGGATGAGCAGTTACATGTACAAGCAAATGGTCAGGTAACTCCAATGGTATCAGACATTCCTGTAACCAACACTTCCTCCACCCTTAAAACCAGTCAACATACATTCAAAATAGGCTGACATTGATATACTTACTAGGTGTAAAAATAGTGCACTATTTTTTCTGCCACAAAGCAAAATTGCATCCTAAGAGCTGTTAAAACTTTTTTTTTTCCTTAAATAGAGAGAATGGGCAAAAAACTTGGAAAAAAAAATTAAATTAAGGCAATTAGACAGGTAAAACAGGACTGCCCGTGATGATGTAGCTGAAACTAGTATATACTTCAAACTTGTACTAGCTGCTGAACATTGACATGCAGCTTCTGATAGACGTGTATGAATGATATAAACTTCAACATTATGGCTTTATACAAGTGCATAGTTGCAACTGCAATAAGTAACGGTATCTGATTAATAAGCATAAAAAAATAAAGTGGAAAGATTTTTAAAACCCTCTTGCAGTATTACAGTACAATATATATACACAGTATAATGGTCACTTCTTACAGATGCAGTCTGTATCACTGTGGTGGATCTTCCTCCTGTTCTTCTTGCAGACATGCTGGTGGCATCTTTATGAAAGCTGAAAAGTCAGTTTCTTCCATTTTAGTATTCATTCCTCTCGATCCTTTTATGAAATGTAGTGTATGTGTCTTGCCAAGAAAGCTTTTGTGGAACACAGTTTAAAAGGTTACCTAACATATCCTTTTACTATTTACCAACCATTCCTCTTCTGATCAGTCACTCAGGGGAATACAGGAAAACCCTCAGAGATTAGTAATTTATATTGCAGCAAAAATGTAAACCTCTGATATATATAGCACAATCTCTCAAGAAAATATATATATTTTTAACATATTTTGGGATATGTTTCAGTCTTGCTGTAACAGGAAGAAAATTATCACCTCGAATTGTGTCTGCATTCACGGAAACCAGTTAGCTGAAAAAGAAGTAGGAAGTTTGGTCAGTAAATGCAGCGAATGTAAATCTGACACAAATATACTTCCTCAAAGTCTTCATTTAAGATGGGCTCAGCATATCTGGGGAAAACATCATTCCTCTGCATTCAACAGTATCATTACTTTAG